ACCGGACAATACGTACGTAAATGTTAAAAACTCGACCGCTGAAATGCATTTTAAATCTTTAATCTTCACACCACTTTTTTAAATACGTTAATGAATGGAAATTTTAAGGATCCGCGGAAAAAACAACAACAAAAAAACCCGATATTTTTCTACATTGTGATCATGATTTAAAGGTACTGCTCCACCACAGTTGTAAGTTAAAGCCTTTAAGAAAATGATTTGATTTATTCTTATATGAACAATTTTTTTTTTTGCTGACGAGAGTACCGCATAAGCACAAGCATGTTTTAAAGAGTAGTCAGTATGGACTGGAACTGTTTAAAATTAGGGCTTTTAATAGAGGTATCCTATACTCATATTTAATATTTAAAATTGAAAATACTTATTATTGCTACACACTCTCTATTAATAAAGAATTAACATAGTTTAGCTTCACCACAAAGCAGAATTGTTGTGTTTTAAACTATACAGGTGGACAAAATTTGAATGTATAATGTCATTAAAAAACTGACAGGTTTTTTTTTTTTTTTTTAAAAAGGGCCAATTTTAATTGACCCATAATGGTTACTGCAGCTTTCCATACATAATTTGCACATTCTTTATTCAAACTAGACATATTTTGTGAGAATTTCATAGATTTCAATTAATTTCGAAAGATGTGCATAGAATACCTTTAAATAAATTGTAGCATTGGGTGTCCTAAATGCAGTAATCTCCCCTTCATTCAAAGTGTACTGATTTGGGGGAAAACCGCTCTGTGGCGACACAAATTTAAGTGTTGGACCTTTGATATCGGTTTTGATATAAAAGCGTTATATTGGATTCAGTGATAAAGCTTCGCGTCCAATCAGAAAATCAATGACCCCCGGGGCGGAACCAATTTTGACCCCAGGGCTATAATTTGAACAATCTTGCAAGAGGTTCACTACACAATGTTTCATGCAAAATATCTTAACTCTAGCCTTTGTAAATTTAGAGATGATTTTTTAAGTTTTTACTATATACATATAAGGAAAACCTATGGCCACCGGGGGCGGGGCTAATTTTGACACAAGAGGCAAAATTTGAATAACTTTTGTAAAGTACCTTTAGATGATATTATTTAACAAATATTAAAGCTCTAAGCCTTGTACCTTCAGACAATAAGATTTATTTAATTTTTACTATATGTATATATTGAAATCAATGACCCCAAGGGCGGGGGCAATTTTGACCCCAGGGCTATAATTTGAACAATCTTGCTAGAGGTTTAATACACAATGTTTCATGCAAAATATCTAACCTCTAGCATTTGTCAATTGCTAGAAGAATTTTTTTTTGAAGTTTTTACTATAAGTTTTTACTATATACATATAAGGAAAACCAATGACCCCCGGGGCGGGGCCGATTTTGACCCCAGGGCTATAATTTGAACAACCTGGGTAGAGGTCTACCAGACAATGCCTTATGCAAAATATATAAGCTCTAGGCCTTTTGGGTCTTTACAAGAAGGTGTTTTAAGTTTTTACTATATGTACATATTGTGAAAATCAATGACCCCGGGGCGGGGCCGATTTTGACCCCAGGGCTATAATTTGAACATTCTTGGTTAGCGTCTACCAGACGATGCCTTATGCAAAATATCTAAGCTCTAGGCCTTTTGGGTTTTTACAAGAAGGTATTTTAAGTTTTTACTATATGTACATAGTGAAAATCAATGACCCCCTGGGCGGGGCCATTTTTGACCCCAGGGCTATAATTTGAATAATCTTGTTAGAGGTCTACCAGACAATGCCTTATGCAAAATATCTAAGCTCTAGGCCTTTTGGGTCTTTACAAGAAGATTTTTTTAATTTATTCTTATAATTCCTTTTGGTTGCCATGGCAACCAGATTTCTGCATGGAATGAAATTCTTTGAACAACTTTGGAAGCCCTTCACCCAAGGAACAATCCTGCCAAGTTTGGTTGAAATTGGACTAGTGGTTTTTCAAAAGAAGATTTTTTAAGTTCACTATATAATCTATATAACACACACACAAACACACACACTAACACACACACACACGCACACACACACAGGTGAATCGCTATATGCCACCGCATCGCAGATGCTGCGGTGGCATAAAAAAAATTTTTTTAAAGAAAATTCTAAGTTCAAGGGGAGAGAAATCTGAAAATATTGGTGCTAAAGTTATGAACCTTGTCACATAAGATGGGGATGATGATAAGGTACATATATTTGAAGTATGAGGTTGATCCCTTAAGAAATAAAGAAGTAACAGTAAAAAATAGTATTTTTTAAGGAAAATTCTAAGTTCAAGGGGAGATAAATCTAAAAATATTGGTGCTAGAGTTATGAACCTTGTCACATAAGATGGGGATGATGATAAGGTACATATATTTGAAGTATGAGGTTGATCCCTTAAGAAATAAAGAAGTAACAGTAAAAAATAGTATTTTTTAAGGAAAATTCTAAGTTCAAGGGGAGATTAATCTGAAAATATTGGTGCTAGAGTTATGAACCTTGTCACATAAGATGTGGTTGATGATAAGGAACATATATTTGAAGTTTGAAGTTGATACCTTAAGAAATGACAAAGTTATAGTGAAAAATATTTTACTGCACCAAAACTTTAATCTGAAATCTGGACGCGGACGCCGGGGCGAGTAGGACAGCTCTCCGTATACTTCGTATAGTCGAGCTAAAAAGTAATTATATGTAATTATCAACATATTGGTGTATTGCTGATATTTGTCATCCGATATCGATAATATCGTTGAATCAATGACAGCTCTACTAATCCTACATGATTTATGAATCAGCAGTGAGTGACTAAGGAACATTGCACTGAATGGTAAAGATCAAATGTTAGAGAAATTATATGTAGCAAAAAATGATTCAGTTATGCCGGCAGACTAAAATGAAAATACAAAAACATGCAAATACATAGATGAATTTTACAACAATTTCTGATTTGACTGTCCCTTATAAATCAGTTACTTGAGTAACAAAAATGGAAATATTATTTCCTGTGTTCCTCTTCTTAATAATTGATAATAAGTTGTATTTTTTCATGTCAATAACTTATCAGAACCTTCCCTTTAATGAGCAGGTTACAAACAAGAGCTGTCACAGAAGACAGCGAAGCTCGACTAATAAAATACTGGACGCAGTAAGGAGGACAAAACTATGAAAGAAAAATCAATTATGTATAATTATGTATTAAGTTATAGTAAAAAAATAACATTTGTTAACATAAATTCCAAGATCAAGGGGAATAATTTTAGAAATAGTCATGCTAGAGTTATGGACCTTACCACACAACATTTGTGTAATGATAAGAAATATATATTTGAAGTTTGAAGTAGATACCTTAAAAAATAAAGAAGTTATTATATTTCTTTAAGAAAACCTAAGTTCAAAGAGAGATAAATCTGTAAATATTGCATCAAGAGTTATGAACATTGTCACATAAAATGTAATTGATGATAAGGAATAAGTATTTGAAGTTTGAGGTAGAAACCTTTAAAAATAAAAAAGTTAAAATAAAAAATAACATTTTTCTAGTAAATAAATCTAAGTTTATGGGGAGATAATTCTTGCAATATTGGTGCTAGAGTTATGAACCTTGTCACATAAGATGTGGATTATGATAACGTAAATACATTTGAAGTATGAAGTTGATCCCTTTAGAAATAAATAAGTTACAGTCAAAAATAATATTTTTTATGGAAAATTCTAAGTTCAAAGGGAGATAAATCTGAAAATATTGGTGCTAGAGTTATGAACCTTGTCACATAAGATGGGGATGATGATAACGTAAATATATTTGAAGTATGAGGTTGATCCCTTAAGAAATAAAGAAGAAACAGTAAGAAATAGTATTTTTTGAGGAAAATTCTAAGTTCAAGGGGAGATAAATCTGAAAATATTGGTGCTAGAGTTATGAACCTTGTCACATAAGATGGGGATGATGATAACGTAAATATATTTGAAGTATGAGGTTGATCCCTTAAGAAATAAAGAAGAAACAGTAAGAAATAGTATTTTTGAGGAAAATTCTAAGTTCAAGGGGAGATAAATCTGAAAATATTAGTGCTAGAGTTATGAACCTTGTCACATAAGATGGGGATGATGATAACGTAAATATATTTGAAGTATGAGGTTGATCCCTTAAGAAATAAAGAAGAAACAGTAAGAAATAGTATTTTTTGAGGAAAATTCTAAGTTCAAGGGGAGATAAATCTGAAAATATTGGTGCTAGAGTTATGAACCTTGTCACATAAGATGGGGATGATGATAATGTACATATATTTGAAGTATGAGGTTGATCCCTTAAGAAATAAAGAAGTATCAGTAAAAATAGTATTTTTTAAGGAAAATTCTAAGTTCAAGGGGAGATAAATCTGAAAATATTGATGCTAGAGTTATGAACCTTGTCACATAAGATGGGGATGATGATAATGTACATATATTTGAAGTATGAGGTTGATCCCTTAAGAAATAAAGAAGTATAAGTAAAAAATAGTATTTTTTAAGGAAAATTCTAAGTTCAAGGGGAGATAAATCTGAAAATATTGGTGCTAGAGTTATGAACCTTGTCACATAACATGTGGTTGATGATAAGGAACATATATTTGAAGTTTGAAGTTGATACCTTAAGAAATGACAAAGTTATAGTGAAAAATATTTTACTGCACCAAAACTTTAATCTAAAATCTGGACGCGGACGCCGACGCCGGGGCGAGTAGGACAGCTCTCCATATACTTCGTATAGTCGAGCTAAAAATCAAGAAAAAATGTAAAAATCAAAACAAGAAAAAAGCTGATTTTAGAGACAAGTATTTTCACTAACCTCAGAGTTTTCTTTATTCTTTAGCACTTAAAACAGAAAGATCAACACAGCTTGACAAAACAATAACACTTTTGCATAAAAAATGACTCATTTTTAACCTTGTATGTTCTTGTTTTTATGCTGTGATGACAATACAAACAATTAAAGATAAAAGACAGACATACCATTGCTATCCTTCCTTATTTTAATCTCAACACCTTTAACAGTCCCAAATCTTCCAAATCGACTCTTTAATTCATCATCTGTGACCTCGGGGAACAATCCTCCAACAAAAACTCTTTTCTCCTGAACCTTTTCAACACTGGTGTCACTTTCTGATTCAGACATCTTAACTAAATAAATTGTAAAAAAATACAATATTTCAGCCCTGCATTGATAGATTCTTCAATGTTCAAAAAAAAAAATAAGTTTTGCTACATACAAAATTTTTGGAGCACTTTCTCAGGCTCTATAGCCTTTGACATTCACGTCATATCACAGTATATAAACAGGTACATTCATATGCTGAAGTCTGTAAGCCATCTTCTGCAAATCCCTTCCAAGGCAGGCACATAATGGAGAATGCACTCTGTAGGTCAAGTCATTTCAAGTACAAGATGATTGATTACTTTGTTATGACTAACTCAAGAGGGTTGCGCTAACAAGAGCAATTTTTGTTAGATGATGGCTTGGAAGTATTGACATCCCAACTTACCATCGCCATAAGAAGAACAGACTTAAAAGATAGGCATGAAAAGTTGCTGCTGATGTGAGCTCTATGACTGAACTAGTCCAATATATTAGACGTTACAGGCTTATTATAGTTTATGTCGGTCAAGCCTGATGTCTAATAGGTATTGCTCATAAACACATAGCATCATAAAGAATTTAAAAAATGTCTATTGTCTTGCCTTTTAAGCTTTATTCAACAGCTTATCTTATTTTCTTTCAATTTCATGCTCAATCATAAACAAAAACTCTCAAACAATGTACCTATCAAATAAAATATAAACATCAATCTATTTTTGTCTATTTGCCATACTGGTTAAGTAAGGCGCTTTGCAGATTGATTCCAAATTTTTGGACGGAAAAATATATTCGAACACGCTGACGGTGCATGGGCAATTATCTCGTTAAAAAATATTCTGTTAGAATCTTCTGACTTATTATTAGCTTGCATTTGAATAAGTCAATCAGATTTCGCGCACTTTACGGCCGCCATTTGTTTATCAGCTCTATAACGAATTTAATTACATGAGAGGATTTAATCATGATTTTTCGGATGTGACAGTTTAATTATTTTGACAAAAGGTATTTGTTTTTTAGTTTTGTTCATAAATAGGTAAAAAATTATGTAAATACACGCTGTCTTCATTGTTTTTCGTTCCGCCCGATTTTCTGGCGGAACATGCTATGGGTTTTTAAGCAATTTCGATATGACGTTGCTTTGCCCAGAAGCAAAAATATCTCAAAGCGACGTCATATTTATAGGACTATGACTGAACCAGCAAGTTTGTATACATACTGGCCCATATGTGTGCATTCATGGGGAAAGTATAAATAAACAGAAAAGAGCACAAACAGCAACCTTAAGAATTTACCTTTAGGAAGACTCTGGGCTCTGATGGAACGACTAAGCCATTTTTAAGCCCTTCATCTTTTGGCAATATTTTGCCACTACTTCATAGTTCATGCATTCCTTAATTTTATTTATATGCTTGGCATGTAAATCATTAATTGAAAACGATTCTCAAGTAAATTCTTTGATTAACCAGTGCAGTTTTTTTTATGTTGTTTTTTAAATCATTAAAAATGGGCAATCACAGAAACTAATAATTTGCAAAACGAGTAAAAAATTATCGCGAAAACACATTACAAATCAAAGATTCTTTCATTTAAGACATCATAAAGTTATTTAAAAACACGGAATTCAAATCACTATATAAATATTTTGTAAAGTATCTCACCTGTGAGCCAAAGGATAACGTTTTAGAACAACTAACTACAAAATAAATATTTGTTGCATGCTTCAATTTAATCTACGTCAACAGACGCTTTACCTTAGGCCTGAGAATCCTATTGATTTTCGTTCAATTGGAGATCATAGCATTCATTGTTTTGTCTCTAGAAAAACTCAAATCATACCTTAAGTTTCAATATTCATCCCAATTTTAAGATGCACTAATGCTCTTCCGTATGTTTCTGTGGTAATGCATCTCCTGAAACATAAAATATCGTCTCGTGATATAGAAATGACCTACCCATTTTTTTTCATTGCGAATTGTTTACGGCAGCCTACTTAAAATGTATAGAGATGAAATAATTTTAACGTGTTTAGACACTTAAAGCAATTCACGTATAAATAAAGATGTTGAAAAGCTCAACCTCTTAGTTAGTTGCATCAAGAAAGTGCATCCGAGAGTTTTAAAGGGACTCTGCTGATGTCTATAAAAACCTAAAAACATAAAGTTTGAATTTCTTACATAAATATATAAGACTGATATGCAAAGATAGTTAAGAAATGTAATTAGAAATAAATTGAAAGTCGTATTATTGTTCTTATCTTAGTCCAAATTGGACGAACAACGTTACAATACTTTAAATTTTAGTATGGGGTCGTTTTTAACAATTTGAAAAATTATTCTAGAAAAAAAGGAGTGAGCAAATGATCTTAAATTATGCACAAAGATTATTGGTCTTGACCAACATCAAATGTAACATTTATCCCGAAAAAATATTTTCAGTCCCTTCATGTCAAAAAAACTTCAGTGGAGTCCCTATATATATATAGTTTCACTAGAGACTTTTATATAGATTCTAAATTTTATTTGAAAGACCCTGGTTTCACACAGCATAGAAAGTGATGGAGTTTTCAATGTGAAATAATGAAAAATAAATATGCTATATTCGTCCAAGTAAGGAACAAAACGTCGCTATATAATTTTATCTTGATATTAGCTTTAAATATTCAAAATGAAGATAAGTAATTAAGTTTTGTGCACATTTTTTTTGTTGATGAATAAAATTGTACATAATTTCCATAGGTCTCTATGTTAAATTATTGACCTGGCATATATTTGATAAGTTATCAATGTAAACTGTTTTTCTCAAATATAAGAGTCATTTCAGAAGATATCAAAGTCTAAAGGTCTACATAAGTAAGTGTTCGTTAAGTACTCTAATATATTACTTATGAGATATCAATATGATTTCAATGACCTATATTAACTCAAATCAATCGTAACTTTCAGATGTTTGAAGTTCAATTAACTTAAGTTTCTAAATAATGATTGATTAACTGTTACTTTACAACCGGTGTTTTATCAAGAGTATATATATAAGCATTTAGAAAAACCTAAAAGTTTCTCAAGAGTATAGATATAAGGTATTAAAATAATCCTTGTCAACAACCTCTTTACTTTTGGTCAAGTTTTCCCAAAGACTTACGTAGTAAGAACTGGCCCCGAAGCATTCGGGTCTAAAAGTTCAAGGTTCAGCCGATGTTCGGAGTGAAGATCTGGACTGAAAACAGAATTGGTTGACAACATACATACAAATCGCCTTCGGTCCATCGTTACCAAATTCGTGATCGTGTGGTTAAAGTTGTTGACTTCAAACCACTTGCCTCTCACCGCTGTAGGTTCGAGCCGCGCTAGAGGTTTCAGATTCTTTATGTGAGACCGTTATCCAGCCAGCTTACGGAATGTGGGTGGTTCAGGGACCAGTTTGTGCCTGAAATAATGTACGTGCTGTACAAGTCTCATCCACCAGTAAAACTGGCAAGTCGCCATATGACTATGCTATTTTGGTGCGACTTTTAACCAAGTTACAAAAATAAAACAAAACAACAACAAAATATTTTAAAAAAAAACTCATTTTGTTGCCACTGAACTTTAAATTTCCACCTTACTAATTAATGTTTTGGTAAAAATAAGATGGTGTATAATTATGATGGATGACTCACCTATCTTTATAAAGGTCATATTTAAGGTCAAAATTTACGAAAATTTCTTCTTTGATTTAATTATATGACGTGTATCTTCAGATAGGTTCATTTGGTAAAAGCGATTTTATATCCAAAACACAAGCACAGTTTTCTAAAACCAATATTTAAACAATGTCTGTAACATTTTACTCCCCCAATTTTTTTTCAAGTTAAAAAACAAAATTGCATCGGAAATTGCTCAGATTGCTCTAAAACTTGCGTTGAAAACCGGGAGAGCGTAGCGAATAATATTAATAAAAAGCCGAGCCAAAAACAGTTTGGTTGGAAAAACAAAAGTTCATGTAGCTAGGTAAGATACACTCTCGGTTTTCAAATCGCCACCCGAGTCTGTAAATACTATGCACACCTATTCCTCTTACGGTATCAATTACATATAGATGTTGTCTTGAAGGCGACAAATTTGGGTCCCCACCAATCTAATCCTAGAGTACAAACTTTTACCGTTGTCATAATAGAGAGATCAGTGAGTTGTGCTTATGCTCAATTGTATATTTCCCAGGTTGTAATGTAAAAATGTGTTTTTTAACCTCTTGATTAGAGGATTAGATGAGTGGGGGTGGCAGGGGCTGGGGGCAATATATTCCGAGTGTCAAAGTACATGAAATGATAGATGATTATAATAACATAATGTGGCATTCACGACAAAAAGATTTATTTCTAATTTGATAGCATATAAAACAACAACAGACTTAACAAATCTGTAAGTGACAGAGCAGTAAAAAGAATAGACATTTTATTACATGACGGGTACTATATATTGTATACTGCACAGTTTCAAAATGTTAAGATGGCGTACAAAGCAATGCTCACTTTTCGCAGTCTTAACAAGCTATACATTATACTCAGAGCATGTGCATTTGTTTCTATATGCATGTACGAAGTAACCAAGAAAGAAAATGAGGCCCATGGAGAACAGAACTACACCAGAGACTAAACAAAGATAGTAAGAATATCCACGCTGGTCAAATGGCAGGTTGTTTATTTCCATGCAGCTGACGAAAAACAAAAACAAATCCTGTCACGGTCTATATAACAATAATAAAACCAATAAGTAGGGAAAGCGGTAGGGGACAAGATATAATGTGGTTTATACCATACAATGTATTTACGTGCATATGACATCATTGTTATGGAAATCTGTACATATACTGTTCGTTCATACGTAATTTATTTTAGTTTGATTGTGCAGAAAGCTATAAGCTTATAGACACACTCTCGGATTCGTTCCTGGAACCATATTGTACGGAACAATGAGCACAAGGAAACGACAACTTGCGCCTGATGGGATTTGAAGCCATGCGACTAGCTATCCGCGGCCTAAGGTTACTAGTCCGACGCGCTAACCATGCACTCTTCCATGCCGCCACTTGGCACACTTAGTCTATACTTTTGTCAACCCAGTTTCAGTATTTTAAAATCTATTTAGTAAACAAATAGCAAGGTACATTTTAAAATTGAAAGATGTCAATCACAAACAGTTTTGTTTATGTATAAACCAAATTATTCACCTGACACCAGACATCCTATAGGAATAAAGCAAGGAAAACAAAACTTTCCAATTGGATTCTCTTTTTCAATTTCGTCATTTCTGTAGAAGCAACATAATATACAGATGTAAACCAGTATGGTGCCTAGCAGGACAATATAAGAAGCCACTTGCAGTCCAAATGCAGATGATCCTAAAGCTGTCAGATACAAAAAATATCAATGCTGTAATACATGGATCTTAAATTTTTATCAAGTCAAAGTGTCATATATACAGTTAAACCTGTAACCAAGGGTCATCCGATGGAGAGACCAAGTGGTCTTTATTTGGAAGTTATGATTTGTGTTTTTAGATTAATGAGAGATTGTGAGGAGTGTCCTTTATTTACAGTGTGATCTTTATTAAGAGATGGCTTTAACACAGGGTTGACTGTAGTTGATGTATCTAAACAATGTTGGCTCGCTAATTTGATAATGTTTATGCTTTTGAAATGAGAATATCATTCAGTTAAGTTATTATTTATATTAATTCTATTTTATTATATATCATTTTATTTTTCATTTATTTTTTGAAGGATTATGGAATTAAGTTTTACTTTAATGACATGAAAAATGTTTTGATTTTGATTTGTTTTGACAATGACATCAATTAAACCTTACAAACTCTTCTAATAAATGTATGTTTATGGGTATTTATAAATAGAATACCAATTCTTACCGTTTGGACCACTAATTGTTGCATTACCACAATCTTTATACAGTAAATTAACATCTGAACAATTGTCACTGTACACCCAGTGTGATGTGAACATTCCGACGGTTTGTGACGGCAGAACGAGGAGGAAAATAACCCCTAATCCCACTCTAGAACACCACTCGAAGGAGTTACGTGCATGTAAACACGGGCAAACGCCTTTAAAAGCCTCTCGAAAGTCTTTTACAACGCCCATTTTAGAAAGTTAACTCCTGTTTCCTGTAAAAAAAAATTAGATATTGCAAATTATGCATCTAATGTTGAAATATTTATGTTTGTATACAGATCTTACATATATAATTAGTTCAAGAAATACAAACGCTTTTCTTTTTGTCTTCTTCAGAAAAAATGACTTTATCAATTTTTCATTTTTTTATCATTTTTTTACAGATCTTATATTATCATGTTTAAAGCCTCCAGATTCATGATGATTTTCATGAAAATTTTGAAAATGTATCTAAAAGTTCAATATGTGCAATGAACAAAGAAGTTTTTTACACATTACAAACTGCACTTACACTACACGTAAATTACAATGTACTTTTTTCTCAAATTTGATTCTTTTAAATATTTTGGCTCATCTTGAGGCATGCGGCTTTAACATACGGAAAACAGTTGTACACTTTTCTACTTTTTTATAAATGAGATTGGTTCTTTATATTTCTCTGTTTCCTGACAAGTATTTTTTTCAAACGGCAAGATATATTATTATATGTCGAACTGTTTAAAAAATCAAAATAAAACAATATGTTCATAATAAGTATTTAAATATTAGAAATAAACCAATTTATTATATACTTTTGAATGAAATACATGTTTTGAGAAATATTGACGAAATAAAATGCGTATTCTCATTTTTCCGTATTTTCACTGTAAAAAAAAAAATATTTTTCAATGCAGTGAAACATATTTTCAGTATTTTCACTGGTGTCTTGTCGGAATACTTTCTAAAATATTTAGCCAAAACACAATCTTTCAAATCAAAATGTCAAAAACTGAAAAATGTATATAATAAACAGAAAATTCAAGTTTTTTCTATAAATACAGGATTTATTTTCATCTTGTGATATGAAAATTATCATATTTCACTCGTGGCTACCGCCATTCATGAAATACAAAATGTATTTATTTTCATACCACTTGATGAAAAAAAATATCCTGTATTTATATAAAAAAATTAATATCCTCTATATATTTATAGTTAAGCTATGCGCAATATTTAATTAATTATATTATTGCATTATATGGATAATGAATATAAAAATTAAAATAAAAAAAATCGACTATTTTAAGAGGCGGCATGTAATACTTACTTGTCAAATAGTCCAGGACTTATGAATATTTATGAATAGTTGATCCCTTTATATACAACTAAAGATTTGCTTCCAGGAAAGAAGAAAGAAACCAGTCTGAACATGTCAGTTCATATTCTTTATTTGAACATCGGTTGTCATTCAAAAATATCGTTAAAACTTTTATGATTATTTATGTTAAGTACACTTCGATAATAAGCCATTTTTTTAAACAAAACAAAAATGCTTATCATCGCTTAAAGACGTATATTGGTTTTACATTATTTCATATACATATAATTTGTTTGCTTTTTAGCCCAAATAATGATATACTAGTAAAAGTCAACAGGTGAGTTTTTTTTTACTTCTTGTTGAATGAAGATAAATTGTACATTATTTCGAGCTTATTTACTGGGTCTTTGTGAACAACTCGACAATAGGAATTGACCCTCAATTTTTTTTTCATTTATGTAAATTTCTTTCAAAGATAAATGTACTGTTATTGATGGGAATATAGTTATAATGTAATTTTACAAAAGTACCGAAATTCCTGGTTTTGTTTGTCATTGTAAAACCTGACATTTTATGACATCAATTAATGAACTATAAAACACATTTAAGAGTGTAAATTGTTAAGTAAGTGTTTATCAAATGTTTAAATTAAATCTATTAGGAGATATTGATATGATTTCAAGTACAGCCGTTTAGTCGTTATTTTCAAATGTTTGAAGTTCTGTTAACTCGTTATGGTCCTTTACGAAACTCGAACAAATTTACAACTACTCTTCACTCCATTTTTATTGAGAAAAGCTAAAATGATCTTAGCGACAGGGCGACAAGACGATAGTCAAATTGCTGGAATATTTAATGTTCAGTTCTTTTACAGCCATGGACTAAATACTGCCAAACCTAATTCCCCTCAGTAAAACGTCATCAATATAAGAAAGAACTTTTTTATTTTTTTATTGTTCCATCTGCTAACAATAGTAATGAACAAAACACATAGCAAAAACACATAGCAGAAAACACACACAAAAAAAGCAACAAACAAACAAACAAACAAACAAACAAGAAAATGATAAAAAAAAGAAAATCACATCACACGCACACGCTCACACAAGATGAAAAATAGATATAAAATATATACAGTAAACTTTTAAAACAGCATGCCTCCAGACTCGTGCTTATGTTCATGCAACTTTTGAAAATGTATTCAAAAGTAAAATAGTGTGACATGAATTAACACACAGGATCTTGAACTTACAGTCCACGTTAACTACCAAAATAAGGTTAAATATGCAAAAAAGCCCGTACTGCGTTAGTCACGCAGTAGGAAATATAATAATAAATGCTGTAAAATCTGCCATTAATCGCACATTAAATATAATTTCTTATTTAAATTTTACATTTCTTTTACTTTTAATAAATGTTTAGTTAATTTTTCTCAAGTTTGATTTTTTCGAAGTATTTTAGTTCATATGCAGATTTAATAATGCTTTGTAATGTAATGTAATATAATGTAATACTGCTTTGTTTGTAACGCTATACTTTTAGCTTTTTTATCTTAAAAAAAATCAAAGCCCTTATATAGAAAGCATATAATAATCTGTAAGTTGCGAAACCAAGCTACTAAACTAATCAACTATTGGTCTCTGCAGTATGAATACATTTAAAACAAAAGTTTGAATAAATAAGGAAGTGAAAAACGTATTCATAATAAAGAGAAATTATGTATACAAAAACGCTTACGATCTTATTGAAAAGATTCTGATTGTGACTTCACATTATCAAGCCGGGCAAACATATATTCCCATGAACTAAATAGATCGTCTGCATTCCCTTCAATTGCCAAACTGTTCATAGGCAAAAGGAATACACTATGGAAGATATACATTTTGAAAAGTTATGTGAAACAAATATTGACGACAAGGATAGTTGTGGCTATACCATCCTGCATCAGGAAAATGACAACACATTGCTGAGCAAAATACCAAAAGTTAGGAAGAACAACCATTGCCATGGATACATGAAAACATCAACGGTATACCTGATAATTGCTACAACAATAATCGTGTCTGCCATCGTCTCTTCTAGTAGTGGAATTTTGGTTTATTTTGTGACAAAGGAGCGCATGGAATGCACTTGTAACATTCAAGGAATGAAATTCGGATCACCAGAGGTATCCCATACTACGACAAAAAGTGCAACAGTTGCATTAACTTCCGGTTTATCCGAAGCTATCTCTCTACCAAGTGAAGTGACAACGGCGTCTGTAGCAACGCTATATGTCGCAACGCCGTTATATGTCGCAACTAACGCTAAATGTCGCAACGCTGACGCTATATGTCGCAATCAACGCTATATGTCGCAATCGCCTACCGTTAAATGTCGCAACGTTGCCGCTATATGTCGCACAAAAATCGATTATCGCTAAATGTCGCAACCCCTTGACGCTAAATGTCGCACTTGGTAGGAAAGAAACAGATGGCACTGAAACAAAAAGTAAGTGTGAAAACATTTAAAGTTTATACCATTTACACATGAAAACATATCCTAGGAAGCAAACAAAAGTTGTATTTCGCGGTCTATGGCAAAAACCTTGTATGGCCATAGAAACGGTTTTTGATAAAAGGGATGGGTTTGGTTCTCAACCACGGACCAGGTGTGAGATCAAACTTTCTCTTTGAGGATGTCTTTCTCACAAAATGCATCAACAAAAACATTTGGATATACATGTATATTTGACTATTTGTTATATTATTTGACATACATGTAACTGAGCAAACCGCTTGCTAATGCTAAGGGGGAACTATATCTTAATATATATTTTATATTATACCTGTTCATAATCTGACTAGATAGGCTTTACTACATGTAAGCATTAAATAATACCCAATTGATCTGTTGATCGATATTCGTAACTATGCGGTGTATTGATTTAGGTTTATGACAGAATTCTTATACTTTCATAACTTTTTATATTTATCTCAATATTTCTTTGGGAACAGTCTGTGTGATGCACAAATGCCGCGCATTTACATTTCTCCGGATATTATGGGTAATGTGCCGAATGTTGTTAGTGTTAGGAGACTGCTTATGAATTTTGGACGATTTAGTGGCCTAATTCTCGAAATAAGACGTATACGAGGGATGATCAAAAATAAACCGGACTGTGACTGGCAATTGAAGAATTTTCATCCTATCACTTATTGTTATATATCACACTTAATCTAAAAACAATACCTGTAAACTGATACTATATCTAATCTGATAACGCAAACAGCTTGTTCTTAAGAGCGAATTCAAAAACCATGGTAACGCACACCCGGCGCAGTGCGTAAATTCGCCTTGACATGGGGCGCTTTATGCTGCGTGTATTTTACAATATGGCACATTTAGATTTCAAAATACGCCAAAACGTCATGCACCATTTCTTTGACGTTGTCAGTAAAAATGACTTCATTTAAACCATATTTATATTTACAATCACAATTCAAACGTCACATGTTAATGAAATACTCGCGTTAAAACTATGTCGTCGGAATGTCTCGAAAATCGATCAATAGGAAAAATTTGTCAAATATAAGACGAGAAGCTGTTTAAAACGTAGAAAAAGATTATGGCTATCAAGGGAAAAGTTCCAGAAAGCATATTTTTTGATTAGCTTAAAAGATTAAGAAAGGATAATAGAGAAATAGAAACAAGTAAGGGAGAGACAGAAAAAAGACATTTTCAAGGACGTCAATCGCCAAGACGTTGCAAAATGACAGTCGATTGACTGCGGACATTGTCAACGATGTTCGACAGTAACTACGGGACGGTGCAGTCAACTCTGAGGATCTTAAAATGATAATAGTTAATGCATTAATTACATGTATTGTATTCTTGGTTTACAATTGTATCAATTATTTTCTTATTTTACGCAGTAGTCTTATGGAGAAATTG